ATGTTTATTGTGTTGCAGTTATACAAGCAATATTTTATGATTTAAGAAGTTAAATAATATTAGCATTGTAATTTCATTTCTTCAAATGCAGTAGAGTACTTGTATAATGCAGTTGTGTTTCTCATTCCTACTGAACATCATTTAGTTTACACATGTATGTACATTTACATAATGCTGATAAATGCTGGGTTTAGTCGGTGTACACTCCTTGAGAGACATCTTTAAAGCTGAACTTTAGCTCAAAAAACATGTTTTCTCTACAGTTATATTTACATTACTTAACTGTAATGAAGTATGTACTATGATGTGCAGGCTGCTGGATTCTCCATAAATCTTCACTGCAGGGCTGCCCTGTCCTCTTCCTGCTGTGGAACCTCTGGCACTGTGGGGGTTACCAGCTTCATATATCCAGGCTCAGCTGAACTAAAGATGATCTGACTGAGACACATCCCCTCCTGCCCTCTCCTCAATTGTAAAAAGTTATTTTATTGATTACAGTACATGTAGCATGACATGTAAATGAGGGATAGAATCCTGTGACTGATCATACTCTGCCCCATTCACAGATCATATTGCAGGCAGTGTAATCAGTGAAAGAACTTTTCTCAAAAGACAAGAGGGCAGGAAGGGATGTATTCCATGTCAGATTATCTTTAGTGCAGCTACGCCTGGAGAACCAAAGCTATTAACCCCCACAGTACTAAATGTTCAGTAGCAGGAGGAGGAAAGGGCAGCCCTGAAGTGAAGATTTCTACAGAATCCTGCAGCCGGCACACTGTGAGCCATACTTCATTAGAGGTAAGTAATGTAACCAAAGCTGTAGAGAAAGCAATGTTTATTTATCTAAACTTCAGCTTCAAAACTAATCATGGGAAGCTGATTAACCTACTAGTTTCTTTAGACTGTGAAAGGAAATAAGTGCACTTGGAGGAAACCATTATGAAGTTAGGGGGAAAGCAGATGGTCAAACTTAATTTCAATGTGGGCTGCATCAGCATTATGGTTGCCCTCAAAGGGTCAGTTGTATCTGTAAGACTAGATGTCCAGAGCACCCCACCCCCTTTACATCAGATGTCAATAGCCCTCCCCACCATCAGAAATCAAGAGTCCCCCGTTCTCCCTCATGTCATGTACTGTTGCTGGGAAGAAGCTAGGGGTAGAACTGGGAAGCAGAAAGTGCAGGGTCTGGAGGAGGACCAGAGGAGGGATGGAGTCAGTTTCCAGAGTCTGCTGAACGCTGAGACCAGGGGAGGCGGAGAGGAGGGGGTGCTGTGGCTGCATAGAGAGGATCTGTAGGAGGCATTCTGTCCTTCTCTCTGCTGCTGACTGCTGAGATGGGGGGGGGGGCATTGATGCACCTCTCTCTGGATGCACAGGGAAGTGCAGGATCTGGTGGAGGAGTTTTGTCCTCCTCTCTGATGCTGACTGCTGAGACAAGGTGGGGTGGAGACGAGGGGGTTCCACAGGTGCAGGAAAGGTGCAATGGCCCCATGAAGTGCCCAGGCAGGCCAGATTTGGCCTGAGGGCCTTGTGTTTGACACATGTGATCAAGTTGGTTGCTTATGCTATGAAGAACAAAAACACATTTCTTATTATCAAGTGTGATTGACAAAGATAAAAGATACATTTAAAATATTATATGAGGGAAATAACTGACTCTCCTTTGGTAAAACGTTTCCACTTTTCTAAACACACTTTACACATGTAAAAATACCCTGTTTCCAGATAATTTATTTCAATAACAATCTCTCCATAAAAATCTTATGTACATTAAATGTGTTTCATGCCTGTTATTTCACAGGAAACGCTTCCCTTGCATAGGCATCCTAGAGACATGAGACTGCTGCTGGGCGCCTCCATCCTAAGTATGTCAGAAGCCAGCAAACTCAGAGCTGTCACTCAGTTGACACTCTGTAGTATTCCTCTTCACTCCTACCATAGCAGCTGCATGAATGTTATGGGGGAAGGAAGGTATGGGGCAGAGGACATGGGCCAGCACAGACAGTACTTCAGTAGAGGGTAGAGCTATGACATGGCAGCAGGGAGGGGCACTGTGGCTGTGCTGGGGGTATCATCTCTTGTGGAGCGAACCTATTCCATTGCAAGTGAATTAAATAAAAGGTTCATTTAAAGGAAAGTCAGCTTTTTATATGCTTGATTTTTTTCTGTACTTTTTCCTGCAATTTTTAATTTTGTGACAGGGTTTCTTTAACTCTTAAATCATAAAAGTAAAGTCCTCATAGCTTCCTCACAGCTGTGTATTTTGTAATAGAACATACACAGGTGTTGACGTTTCTTATGCATGAAAATGTACTGAATGGTGATTAGGTACTCAGAGAACATTCAGATAATGATATTTACATCGCTGATCATTTTGTGATTTCTTCTGGAAGTTCCAAGTTCTGTGGATGACATTTAGCTTATTATATGTTTATACATGTATATACATTTTAGTTGACTCAAACTGGTTAGCATAGAGAGTTTAATGGGCTTTTAAACTTTAAGGCCTATCCTTATTCTGTCGCAGTAGTTTGGGACCCTCCTTGGGGATAAATATTATACATGGCACCCAGAGGTGATTAGATAAAATGTTATAGGGATACTAGTACAATATAAGGGATTTGTGGGAAGCCTATTTTCATTATTAAGCTATTTTCTTAAAAGCCATTTGCCTTCACATCCCCTCTGTTTGCAAAATATTACAGATTTAGAGACGAGAGCCAGGAGTGGACACTCAGCTGTCAAACTCAGTTGCCTACTCAAGCAATGAGGATGCCACCTACTTCCCTCTGTGAGCGGGTCCTCCAGACTACATCTCCTAGTTCCACCACAGGCCAACAGAATCAGAGGAGAATAACTTCTGTAACATCTGCTGAAATGTGAGTGTTTTTTTATATTTTATTAAAGGTGTCTTAATTTTTTATTTTCTTTTATCACCTCACTTCAGAGTCTGCATCAGCTCTATGGATCCTTCTTTTATGTGCCTATGTACCTGTCATTTAAAGATCCAAGAGTCTCATTGTGCCAGCTATTTGAACCAGTAGGACTGTATTCATTGGACTGTATGGAGTATGTGAACTGGTATAGTCTAATTGAGATTTGATATATTGAAGGATTATATGCTCTGTGAAACATTTTTATTGCTGCGATAGCTACATCCTGTATGCTGCCACCAGAATATAATCAGGTATTGACAGGTTCCATATCCATATCAATATGTGAATACTCTAAGTTTTCAAAAAGGAAACCCATGTGGTGGTAACAGAAAGACTACATCATAATGTTAAAGCAACTCTTTAATTTTTCAGTGATAGAGAAACCACTACCCAATATGAAATATATGTTTATAAACAACCATCTGATGCATAATCAATGCACAAAAACTCTACTCCAGTCTGTCCCCTGAGACCCAGTTATTTCACCATGGGGAGCTGACATCTTGCCTCTCAACTGCATAAAAGGTGAAGCCAAGATGCACATCAGAAATAACCTCTGCCCTTTCTGTGACAGTGATTTGGAGAAGGCAGTAGAAGGGAGCCTACATTGCTGACGTCACGCCGCCGCTACCGAGGAACGGTGGCCATCTTGGTATTACAATTTATTTACTCCACATGGATGTTTTCTTACTACTGTGATTTACACTCATCAATAAATACTGCACTATATAAGCACTTTCTAGCTCCTGTGGTTGAGCGGATTCCCCCCAGGATTAGATGACACCTGCCCCAACTGACAGATGGAGGGAGCTTTAGGAGTAAATCCGGAGCTGTCATTATACCCCCAGATGTGTGATATAAACAGATGCGATGATTTACTTGCAGTCTGGTGAGTGTACATCCATCCGAGGCGATGGATTCTCTTCATCAATAACCGCACGTTTGCACTTGCACACTTGGACAAACATTAGCAGTTTTCACTGCCTGCTGTATAATATTTGTGGTCGTCACAGACTCTCAGTGATTTATATGATTGCACTATTCACGCATTTGTTTGCACTTTATATATTCGAGTATGATATAAGATATTTATGTTTCATGAGTTTACAGCGCTGCACGTTTATGACATATGTTTACATTGGGAGAGTTACCAATAGCTTAAGTGCTAGCAGCTATTTCATTTTGCACTTTATATAATTGAGTATGATATAAGATATTTATGTTTCATGAGTTTACAGTGCTGCACGTTTATGACATACGTTACCGAAACCTTAAGTGCTAGCAGCTATTTCATTTATCCGTAATTAATTTATTTACATAATTTTACATATAATTTTTTAGAACTTGCTTTTATACTCTCTTTTTATGTGAATTTATGAATATATAAATTATTACCTATATCCTACAGTACTAACGACTACTAGGTATAACACTAACTATAAGATCTCATTATATGCGCTCGCTTATATTTCTTTTTCCTTTGAACACATGATGTAGGTTCACAGCAATAGATTCCAAATGCAAATATCACACTTAGAATCAACTCCAGACTTTTTACCTGCTTAATTGATGAAGAAATAATGAAAGAGTAGCCCACTCCTGGCCATGAAACAGCTTTTGATTCAATAGTCCAATTACTTTTGGTCCCTTGAAAAAGGTAGAATGGCTACTCTTAAGAGCTGTAATTACCAAACCCTTCCTCCAATTTGGATGTACATACCCTCAAATTAAACCTGGGACTGTGCACTTTCTGCCCATTATATAACTATTATTATTATTATTTATTATTATACAGTATTTATAAAGCACCAATAGTTTGCTCAGCGCTGTACATTACAAAGGGGGACAGAACATGTGACAGAACAATACCAATACAATGCAAAACATGAGGGGATTGAGGGCCCTGCTCTTTCGAGCTTACAATCTAGGAGAATCTAGGAGATAACTATAGCTTGAATATGTTTTGGTAAATACCTGAAAAAAAACCAATTGTGCCTGCTTTCAAATATATATGGACCTAAGTGTATCTGTTAATGCCCAATATAATTGGTGAAAATAGAGCACCTTATCTCTTATCTGTTGCCGGACTTTCTCCCTTTCTGCTTCCATTCGGGCATGCTTTGCCTTCCTTTCATCCTCTTGTTGGCGTAGAGCTTCTTGTCTCTCTTCCTCCTTCTTTTGAGCATCTGGATCTTTTTCTTCTTCACCTCCCAACATCTTTCCCATATCCTTTGTTGCCCCTGAAAAGAAGAGCAAAAAAATCAGTTGGTTTCTGCCTGCTTCATTACTACAAAATCTATATATCATCATATCATCATATTTTCCTCCTATTTTAAAAATCCTATAGTATTGGAGAGAGTTTTTATGTAATATTTTTCTATCAATATATCTAGCATACTTTATGTAAAATCTGGATCATCATATGCACAGAATATGATTACCACTTGTGTTCAGTCTTGAAGAAGTGGATAGTTCTGTGAAATGCATTGACTGATTAAGCTCAGAAAAGTGGCTGTGATGTACCCATGTGAACTACTTTGCCATAAAATAGTGTTGTCATATTATTTGTAGTGATATAATGTATGTAAAACTGGTGCATTGTAAACTGTGAGACCTTTTTTTAAATTATGCATACATTTTACATTTTTGTATGGAATACAAATTGAGAATATTTTTCTCTTTGGTGTTGATAGCCTCTCCAGTGCTATATTTATAGTCCTTTGTCCTCTTTTACCATATTTTTACAAATATAATTTTACCTATTTAAGAATGACTTTTGCACTGATGGTCACCAGGACCAAACTGTCAAAGTGTAAAAAGGTATTGCTATCACAACCCCTTTGTAATAGCAATAAATGTAAGTGAAACATTTTTCTAAAAATTAAAGTTTAATAAAATAAATAAAAAAAAATCAAAACATTTTAAATGCCCTTGCTTTATAATTGCACCATGCATATTAGGTATCACCACACATGCCATAGTAAGAGCAAATATTCTAGGGCCATAATTCGTTGTTAACTCTAAATTAACAAGCAGTAAAGGCCATCCGTGGACAACTTTGGGTAACTTATTTTTTGCTGTCTCGCAGGCATGCATGATTTAGAACAACAAAGAGAACATACTCTTCTGCAAATTACCTGGGAGACTGGGAACCGGAGCTCTGGCCCAGATGCCTTTGAATTTAGCAATAATCCTCTAATACAATGGAGCTGACTACTCAGTAACATCCATTGCAGCAATTCTTTATTCGCGCCATGGTAGGATACAACACTAGCATATAGCACTAGTAACACACTAGCATATTTAGGCTGAAGCTTTACTCCTGTATCCTGTCGGGTGCAATTTAGAGGATTGACAAATTCAATATCTATCTACTCAACACATCCTCATCTCATTATTTTGTACCAAAAAATTTGGTAACATATTGTTAAAATTTGGTAACAAATCAACATATTATTGTACTTTGGTAACAAATTAATTTATCTGAGTGCATTTTTTACTTTGAGTTGATAAACAGTTGCACAATTATCTTGTGGTAATCGCTACAACTTTATTCAACAGGGTCACTGCTTTAGACATTATACAATGTTATTGGGATTTTAAGTAATCTTCAAGCCTAAAATGGGCAATTTGAAATGTATGCATAAAAATGAAAAAATTACCTGAAAATGAAAGGGCTAAAGAAGTTTAGCACTAGTACTTTTGTAAATAATATAAAATATTCTGAAGGTTATTACCTTTACTACAATAACTCTGAGATCTGATATGATGAGATGATATGATGAAATCGACTGATGAGCTACTGAGGATGGTTTTTGAAAAAATTCAAGTTAAAAAGTTAATTAGTTGCACAGCTGCACCCTCCTTCCTATTCATGGACACCTTCTATCCCACAGCAATGATTTAATTCCCTAGCAGTGTACTTTATACACTCACAGCTCTCTTGCAATCTGTCTTTCATTTAGACATAATTTATGTTAAGATTGATGACAGTGTTATTACAGCTCTCACATGCCACACTGCTAGATGTCACAGAGAGTGGTTGTCGGGGACCCACCTAAATTGTGTGCTAGGGGGCTTATGCTCCTAGTAGCTATAGATTTGGCAAGTTGACAAAAGTAAAACATAAATAGATATATAACATAAGTGAACACATTTTCTAGATATGTTTGTGGCCGCCTTTAAGCATTGACTATGCTTACTGTTCAGTGAGTTCAGGGTTTTTGTTAAATTTTGACTCCTTCAAACGAATCAGAAAAAAAATTTAATCAGAAAAAAAAAAAAAAAAAACCCCAAAAACAACCTGAATACCCTATTTACTCACCTAATTCCTAAAGCCCAATATACACAATCAAAAAATTGGATGAAAAATACTGGTTTTGAAGTGATTGTATGATAATCTGATTGTTAGTACACAGCTATCATCCAAAATTATTCTAGATATTTTTGTGGCCGCCTTTAAGCATTGACTATGCTTACTGTTCAGTGAGTTCAGGGTTTTTGTTAAATTTGAACTCCTTCAAACTAATCAGAAAAAAAATGTACATGTAATGTAAACTAATCAGAAAAAAAAAAAACCAAAAACAACCTGAATACCCTATTTACTCACCTAAATCCTAAAGCCCAATACACACGATCAAAAAATTGGATGAAAAATACTGGTTTTGAAGTGATTGTACGATAATCTGATTGTTAGTACACAGCTATCATCCAAAATTATTCGAAGGGACAGACACAAAAAATGTTTTTGTATGATATCAGATTGTACGATTTTCCTTTAATCAGTAGAGTATTCATCCGAAACAAATTGTAAGAACAAGACCACGCATGCTCAGAAATGAAAGAATACATTGCAGTACAATACATTAGATCACTTCTGAAGTTGTATTCTGTCATACAAAAATTTTCGTAACTTTAGCAACCTCTTAATTTTCAATATGAGACTAGCATGCAAAAAAAAAAAAAGGTCGATCATTCGTCCTATATTCTCATCGTGTGTACTGGGCTTAAGTCCTCTTTCTTCTGTGCACAGGTTGTAGGGTCCTTCTTTGGGTGTGCGTATTACTACTGTGATACATGGACACTTCCTCTTAGATATTCAGTGCCTGGGTCCCCTCAGGATTCAGAATACAGTCAACAGGCAATGACATCAGTTCAAAGATACAAGGGTACAGACAGGGATCGGTCAAAACAGGCATATCTGCAGCACTGGTTTACAGCACCTGGGAACAGCATTGGCTAGGTCCCTTGGCATATGTGAAGGAGGTGAGTATAAAAACACAAGGTATTTAAAATTAGAATGTGCCAAATGTGCCCACAGATGGGCTTTACAACCAAACTCCAGGTGAATAAAAATAAAAACTCAATTTCACTCACTTGTGTACCTATAAAAAAATAATTATTTTTGTATTTCAAATACAACTACAATAATACATTCATGTTGTTATATTAGCATCCTGTATATTTAGCACAGCAGCATTCATATTGGTAGAGAAAGGATAGGCACTCTAAGCCAGTCTGGACTCTATTGCTCTGCACAATGATGTCAGTCTAACACTGAAAATTTCTTAAAGGAAGGGAGAACATGTGGGTGAACTCATTTGTGGATTTCTGATGAGTTCATGGGATTTTGCATTATCCAGTCACAGGCAGGGTTGGGTTGATGACCACGTTAAAGTGCTTAACTGCAGTAGAAAGATGTGAGGTCAATGAAATGACTTTGCTGTATGGAAGAAATGTCTTGATCACAAGACTATAAATCTTCTGAAAGTAAGACAGCTAACGGTATATGACAATATCTTTGGTTATTTGCTTGGTGTTCAGATACTGAATACCATTATAATACCATTAAATGAACTCCTTGCAATTAGAAACAAATATTCAGGCTACACAGCAGAGAACTATAGCTTACAGAGTTCTAAATCCTTAACGCAGTTTAATAATGGAACTATACATCCATACTGACAGCTAATTATCACTCAAGTACAAAATAAATGCCACTATGGGGGTTATGACATTTTTTTTTCTTCTATTAAATCACACATGGGAAAGAATCAAATAATATGAGCAAAGTTGTGCATATTAGGATTAGCTGTTAATGCAAGCTTCGTATTATGTTAATGCCATTTAAAATATTCTAGTAAATCAGCCCAAAGGATTCCAGTAAGAGCTATCATGGATGAGATTTAACTAAATGACAGTTATGCAATGCTCACTTGGAAATGAATTCTCAGACAGTGTCGGACTTAGTTTATATCTAAGTACAAGTAAAACAAGAACAAGTAGTTCTGCAATTTTGCACGACTGACATATGTGTGAGGTTCTGTGTTTTACAACACACACAACATACAGAAATAAATATAGATGCAGCTACTGTAAACCTTATGAAAATGCTCGTTCTCTCACTTTTTAGGCTTAAAGTATAAATACAAAAGGTATAACAAAGTAAGTTGTTTCTAGCAATAGGATACAGGAAGAATGACCAGCAAGAGAAAACTGAAAAGTCACATGCATATAAACACAAATACACAAGCAGACATACTTAAAAACCTAATAAATCAGGGAGATTTGCAAGTTATAGCCCCATGGCTGAAAGACCCTTACCCTTGTGTTAAAAACTTTGTAAGCTAAGCCTGTTGTTTCCCCAACCTGGAACAAGTAAAAGGACATCTGATTTTTCTCTGATACATAACATGTCAGTGACTCAAACATTACTGAACCCAGTGGGCCAGTGTAATAGCCAGACAACTAGCATCATCATAAGAGGATTGGCATTGGCAGCCCCATGGGGTTAATTTACTAAAACTGGAGAGTGCAAAATCTTTTTGTCAAAGCTTAATTGAGCAAGCTGAATTTAGAACCTTATTGGCTACCATGCACAGCTGCACCAGATTTTGCACTCTCCAGTTTTAGTAAATCAACTCCACTGTGCCTCTTTGGATAGGTTTACCTTAACTGCTTTGCCTCTGTATCTTTCACTAGAAAACAAAAAACAAAAAACCCAAAACATTGTATATTCTCTGAAAGCAGAGGCTCTGTAGCAAAAAAAGATTGCAGATGACTTTTTTTATGTTGCACATTAATGTGTATCAAAGATGAGGTTGTGTTGAGTACATAGATATCACATATGTTAAGCGTCAAAATTGTGTGTACTCATGAAATGGTGAAAAATCACAGTACCCAAAATTATCAGTAGGCGATGGTTTAAGTGTCTTTACAGCTCATCAGTTTAGAGTTAACC